GTTTGTTTTGGAGTTTTTGTATATTTGTTATTTGGACTTTTTAGTTAGTTTTTTGGTGTCTAAACCACCTAAATTAACAAAATTTTTTGAGAGTGGGTGGTTTTTTTTTTTTTTTTTTTTTTTTTTTTGCACAAGATTAAATATAAAGCTCCAATCGCACATCGTTCTGACTTAGGATTGTTTGGATCTGTTGTACACTGCCTGTATATACTTTCCTCCTTGTGTTAAAATACTTGGTGGATTTCTCAATTTGAGGCTTGTGGCATTAGTTGGAAAGGAAGTAGAACTGGTAATACGTCATATTAAGCTTCAATATGTTATCATTATTTAATGCATTAGGTATCATGAACTAACAATAAACTATTTTTTACAGCTTATATTAAAGGTGCATATGAATACACATACTACTGTTTGAGGTTTGGGGTCAGTTATTTAATCAAAAATTAGGTAAAAACAGCAACATTTAGAAAAATCATTACAATTTTAAACAACTGTTTTCTAGTTTAATGGTTATTGTTATGACAGCAGAGGTGAATTTTCAGCAGTCATTACTCAAGTCTTAAGTGTCACATGATCCTTCAGAAATCATTCTGATATGCCGATTTGATTCTCAAAAAGCGTTTCTTATTATCATTGTTTATTCATAATACATTTACTAATATTAAGTTATACAAACTTAAAAATGAGTATAGTATATGTAGAATTAACATTAACCAAGTTTAATAAATGCTGGTTCTTGATACCTAATGCATTAATTGATGTAACAAATTGAACAATAACTTAAATCTATGGTATAAAATGCATATATTTTATCTTTTAATCCTAAAATAGTTGAAGATTTCTTGAAACCTTCTGGTAAGGTCTAACGTAGTTAGCTGTATTAAAATCAATAACCAAAATTGTGAAACTTGATATAGGAATTGACGGTTTATCGGTGTAAACCCGTATATCAGGCAATAACTGTGCACATATTGGTGTCTGTCAGGCTGGCTGGATTCCAGTCTGTTAGACCCGTCGCTTTCTAAAGCACAGCTTGGCTGTTTGAAGGTGACTGACCGCTGCTCAAGCCAGTCAGCCGGTTGATTTGGCTTGCAGTGCAGTCAGTGTCTCAAACAGCATCTGACTGTCAGATAAGACATTTATAATTTGAGAAAGTTGTGCTAATGCACCTGTGAACTTCTTGAGTTATTTAACTAGTGTGACAGTATCACTGGTCTTGGTTTGATATGTAGCCTTTTTAATTATAGATTTTTATTATGGTTGGGGACTGTATTTTATTTTATTTTTTCCAATTTATATTCTTTAACTTGTTTTTCCTAGAACTGGTACTTACCTTTTCCCCTGATACCCTTTAACTAGTCTGAAGTAATGCACAGTATGTGTGTAGTTTACCAGTAGTGCTGTAATGAGTATGAAAACTGTGTTTGTTCTAATGGCACGGTTTGATTTGTCAGATGGCACTGATATTTATTCAGTTATGCAAAGATACTTAAACAGGGATGTTGTACAGATGCTCTGTGCCTTGTTGTGGGCCCTGATTGCAGTGTACCCGTTCCTTTTTCTGGTTATTAAAAAGCTACAAAACGCATCACAGGAGTTTCCCCTCTGATGTGTGAATGGAACTACGCTGACTAATTCCAAAGCTATGTGTGGCAGTTGTTTAGATATCAGTGGTTGGTCAGTTGTGTCTGTGTAGAGAGTCAATGAAGGTTCTTAATTTTAGTTTTTGATTGTGAGCTCAGGGGAGCCTTGTGAGGCAATTTGCAAAATTTGGCTCTTCAGATTTTCATGCAAATAAAAAGAATTGCCACTTTGAATGGAGTCCTGCATTTTTTTGTTCTTTACAGCATTAAATATGACTTTCTAATATTTTTTATGAGTTTAGAAACCAGTAAAAGCATTCTTTAATCTCAGTTTACGTTCTCAGAACACAAGTTCAGGTGACACTAGCTGTAACCAAACCAAGTAAGGAAAACATTACAGAGCACTTAACTCAATATTAATGCCCTCTTCTGACCACTTAGTGCTATGACAAACTGTATTTACAGTATTTACGTTTATTCATTTAGCAGAAACTATTAGTAAATGCTTAAGTAAATCGCAAATGGCTATGAATAAAATATATAAATTAGGTTTTTTTGGATGATGCATTTATTGAAAGTTAGTGGTCCCAAAAAGTATTTTATATACAAGAAAAAAAAAATTAATAATAAAAAATATGTAAATATTACATACTGCAATTACAAAAACCGTAGTATTTATTTTAAATAAATATAGCACAAGCACAATTCCCCAAATTAAGTGTTAGGTTTATTATATGAAGATATATTGTTCGTTCGCAAAACGTTTTGGACACTTTCCGGTTGTCAAACATTGTGGAACATGTTCATTTGTTCAGGTAATTAGTCTGCAAGAATTCCAGCGTGAACTCAATGAAAACTGACTTCAATACATCCATGAAAATAGTTAAGAAATGCTTAAGTAAATCGCAAATGGCTATGAATAAAATATATAAATTAGGTATTTTTGGATGATGCATTTATTGAACGTTAGTGGTCCCAAAAAGTATTTTATATACAAGAAAAAATAAAAAATAAAAAATATGTAAATATTACATACTGCAATTACAAAAACCGTAGTATTTATTTTAAATAAATATAGCACAAGCACAATTCCCCAAATTAAGTGTTAGGTTTATTATATGAAGATATATTGTTCAAAAGCAAAACGTTTTGGACACTTTCCGGTTGTCAAACATTGTGGAACATGTTCATTTGTTCAGGTAATTAGTCTGCAAGAATTCCAGCGTGAACTCAATGAAAACTGACTTCAATACATCCATGAAAATAGTTAAGAAATGTGTCTAGAAAAATCTACAAACGTGTTTGCAGATGCCCCTTGTTTTGACATTTTGTATCTAATGCTGATATTTCAATGTCTGACTTCAGTGTTTAAATACTTTTTGGGGCCACTATTGACAGCATACTGTATATTGATGATTTTAATGAAAGCTTGATTTATTAATATAGCACTCCCAGGTAAGGAACTCTGTAAGGAGCACTCTGTCTATTCACAAGCAATTTATTACAAGAGCAAACAATATTTTCATTGTTTTAAGAGTTAATAGTGAGAGTATATAGTACAAAAACAGACCGAAAAGACTCCAAGACACAAATATACAGGAAAAAGAAATCTGTATTTGAATAAAAATGACCGGATACAACAATTAGATTTCTCATAAAACTAATAACTGTACATACTGCTTTTGACACAAGTCAACATTACAACTTAAGCTTGTTTACAGAAATCTCTTTTTGTTTCTTTTTCTTTGTCGTCTGGTCCTTCGAGCCCTTGATTTGGCTTTTGACTTGGTCTTGTAATTGGGAGAAGAAGGCTTGAGAGGAACGCAGAGCCTTATCCATGCCATCATTCTGTCAGAATGTACAGGGGGAGAAAATATTATACACATAAACAAAACCACAATAATGTAATTGGATTCATTAATGCTGCATTTGACTTGGTTACTGACCGTGAGTATTTTGGCTTTTCCTCCTTTAGTAAGTTTCTTGAGAGTCTGTTCAACCTCAGTTTTACTCTTCTTCTTATTCTTGTCTCCTTTCATCTCCTCTTTGAGTTTCTGTCTCTTCTCCCGCTCTTTAATCTTCAGATGCTTCAGTTTCTTCTTCTTCCGTCTCTCTCGTTTCTTATCTGTAGTGGTTTTTTCTGTGTCTCCGAGTACGTCTCCTGCCTTATTCTTCTCCTGAGATAAGGGAATAAAATGCATTGACATCTAATGAAGATTCTGAGATCTAATTTGTGTAAATGCTTCACTCAAATACTACAAAGCAAACTCTTTCGTAAACACTTAAAAGTGAGGTTTTCTGATAAACTGGAAGTGATGCGAGCAGGCCACATGTCTCCTGCCTTATTCTTCTCCTGAGATAAGGGAATAAAATGCATTGAAGATTCTGAGATCTAATTTGTGTAAATGTTTCACTCAAATACTACAAAGCAAACTCTTTCGTAAACACTTAAAAGTGAGGTTTTCTGATAAACTGGAAGTGATGCGAGCAGGCCACACAAACCTTAATCTCCTCTGGAGCCAGCAGTGTGGCGTCACTGGCATTGACTGGAGCCACTTCCTCCATAGTAATAGAAGGCAAGTTGGAAACCACTTTCACCTCAGGAATATGCTAAACAGAGAAATAACACATGAAGAATGACTCGTCTGAACATGTTGTACAGAGAGATGAACTTAGCAGAACAGGAATCCATTTTACATGTTTAGGCCAATATATTTAGTTTTAATAAACCGCTAAATTGAATGTTTTTTTTTTTTCCATTTTATAGGTACATAGCTTGAAATCTTTTTTTTTTTTATCCACGTCACACATGCAGGAATACACTATAGCTGGCTCAAGCCATAAGGAGAATTTAACTCACTGGTTTTGGTGTAAAGTGGAAGTTTGATAGCGCATCCAGTTTAAGGAAGAGTGTGTCCATGAGTTTCTGGATTTGTACATGCGCTGGGTTCTCTTCCTCTTCCTTCTTTTCCTGAAGTCCACAAAAAATATATATTATATATTTGTATTCGCAAGGATTATTCCATGCGCTGGGTTCTCTTCCTCTTCCTTCTTTTCCTGAAGCCCACAAAAAATATATATTATATATTTGTATTCGCAAGGATTATTCATTTGATCAAAAGTAACTGTAAAGCCATTTATAATGTAAAAAAAAGTTTCCATTTCAAATATATGCTGTTCTTTTGAACTTTCTATTCATCAAAGAATCCTTACAAAATGTATAGTTTCCACAAAAATATTAAGCAGCACAACTGTTTTCAACATTGATAATAAGAAATATTTTTTCAGCATCAAATCCATATCGCTGAAGACTGGAGTAATGGTTGTTGAAAATTCAGTTTTGCCATCATAGGAATAAATTACATTTTAAAATATATTTAAATATAAAACAGTTGTTTAAATTGTAATAGTATTTCACAATATTACTTATATATAATTTTTTTTAAAGATTAAATAAATGCAGCTTTGGTAAATATAAGAGACTTCTTTCAAAAGAGCTCTTAATCATTCCAAACTTTTGAAATGGTAGTGTATTTAAATGGTAATTTATATGTAAGTGAATCACAATTTCAGACATCATTCAAATTATAACCTAAAAGCCTGGTTTCACAGACAGGGCTTAGACTAAGCCAGGATTAGGCCTTAGTTCAATTAGGACATTTAAGTAATGTTTATGAATGTGCCTTAGAAAAAAACATTACTGATGTGCATCTTGAGACAAAACAAATGCACTGATATATTTTAAGATCAGTCAGTGTAAGTTTCTTTTAGTTGAAACAGCTCAGACTTATATTTTAGGCTGCGTTTACACTTGGCATTAACATGCGACCTGTATCCGGATGTTGTCCACATACACATTGAAAAGACAAGTGTAAACGCGCTTCTGATCGGAATGTTATCCGATCAGCGTGTCCTGGTCCAGAGGTAGTCGAGGACGCATTGTGATCGGATCTCAGTGTAATCGCAATCCAGCCATCGTGTCTGCATTCGCAGGTCGACGATCGGTTATCCAGATAGAAAAGTCAGTTGATGTTGCCAAGTGTAAACGCGCTGTGTTCTGATTGACTGATGATCCGATCTGCTTGATCGGATCACGGTGATCACATGTTAATGCCAAGAGTAAACGCAGCCTTAGTCTGGGACTAAGCTTAAGCCTTGTCTGTGAAACTGGGGGGAAATTTTTTATACCTATACATAAGTATGAGCAGGAGGTGAAATGAGAGACACAGCTGTGGACAGGACTCGCCTGTGTCTGTTTGATATATTCTTGCTCATAAACTTCGGCAATACTCAGTTTGCTCTTCTCATGGTCCAGAGTGAGTCTCTTCTTAATGCCAAGAGTAAACGCAGCCTTAGTCTGGGACTAAGCTTAAGCCTTGTCTGTGAAACTGGGGGGAAATGTTTTTATACCTATACATAAGTATGAGCAGGAGGTGAAATGAGAGACACAGCTGTGGACAGGACTCACCTGTGTCTGTTTGATATATTCTTGCTCATAAACTTCGGCAAGACTCAGTTTGCTCTTCTCATGGTCCAGAGTGAGTCTCTTCTTATACTCAAACACCTCCTCTTTAGGCTTCTCTTTCCTTACCACATCATCCCACACCTGAGACACAACCACAATACTGCCAGAGCATCCTGGACACTGAATAAAGATTGAGAGCATAAAAAGAGAAATGTCACTATTTTTTTTTACCCACACTCATATGTAGTAGTATTATATTACTATTTGCATATCTTTATCATTAATTATACTTATTTAGAGTTTAAAAACAAAACTCCCATAGAAAATGAATAGAGAAATTAAACATGAATAGAGACATTTTTAGAGAAAGGTACGTCACATATATTAAACTCGCAACCACAAAGTGAGACTGTTGCACATGTGTGGCCCGACACGCGTTTCAGCTTCTTTAACGTTAGAAAACGTTCTGTTTTAAATTAACAACAAAATATTTAAATAATTTAATGTGCACCTAACCTGAGAAATAGCTCCGGGTGTGCCGTGTTGCTGTTTAGTAACTGTAAGCAGCTCTCCAACGTGCTGCCATCTCCGTTCGCCATCTCAGCACCCTCACATGGGTTTCTGCGTACGCTTGGTAAATACAACCTTCGGAAACAATGTTGCGTTCCACATAGAAGGTTCCATATAACCTTATAACCTAACCTTTCTTTTTACGATTTAATGGTTTTTAGTTTACCATAATCCTGTTTTTAAAATGTGATGGGGTTCTTGTGGAGATAGAACAAGCCTAGCTATTACACATGAGATTGTTATCTAGTAAACAGTGACACTTTGATTAGGCTGTTCATTTGTGATCATTGCAAGAAAAATTGGACGATTCCACTTCATTTTTATGGTGTACTTGATATTCTTGGCTTTTGCCTTTTTTCTTTTTTTTTTCTGATGTAAAGATTTTCTTTAGTGACTTAATAAATTATTAATTTAAGTTCGTTTGATCCGTTGGCCCTTTACAAGCTCACACATTCAAAATGTGTACAAATATTGTAAAGCTTGTTAAATTTTCCTCTTTTTGTATTTATGTTTGTGGGGTACACTAGGTGTTTTTGTTGTTTTTTAAATGATGATTACAACAATAGAAGCCAAAATAAGCTCAGTTAAATGCATGTTTTAAATGCTATAATAAGTTTTGCTGTGTATGAATGTGAATTGAAATCCTTGCAAGCCTCTCATCTGGCTCTCTATGGAACAGACAGATTGGAGCTTTCTTTTTTTGCCTGACAACAACCATGTATTTGGGAGACAAGTTGGCTCATACCCATCTCTCCACTGTAGTCAACCCCCCGCCAAATAGAAAGCTGTTTTTGTTCTCAAGCCTTAAATCTGCCATTTTTTCCTTTTTTCTTTTTTTAAAAAGAAAAGAAAAGAGATAACTAGAGGAGTGAGATTAGGAACCAATGTTTGTGGGCTTTCTCACTTGTGTTTTCTCCAAGGTCCTGTTTGAATTTTCCAGCTTCAGCACTATTAGAATAAAAGTTTTTTTTTCTTTCTGATGTTTTAAGCTGTTTTTGACATTTCAATTCATTTGGCAGTCTGAAAAGGAACATAAATCTTTCCAGAGAAATTCACACTCTGCCTGTCAAAAAAAAAAGACATTTTGAATGACTTCACATTTTGCCCATGCTAGATTTTGGCTTTTATGCACAGTAGTTAAAAATAACGTATTAATAAAACAATATTACATGTTGCTCTGAATCGAACATGAAGAAAACAAGCATCAAAGAAATCTGAAGCTAGTTTAAATGTTTTTAGGGGAAATATCTTCAACGGTGCAAGGGATATTATCACGCTTCCTAATGATATTCTGTTGAAGCTTGCTTGTCTTTTTGTAGACATAATGTGAAAACATCTGCCCGGATTAATCATGAGGCAAGAGTAGCTGCATGGTAATTGTTTTCAGTATCCCAAAGGCAGCTCATCCTAATTGCACATATTCAAACCACATGTCCAGTTTTATCTGGGGCATTGGAAGCTGTTTATTGCCTTAGCCTCGAGAAATACATTTTCTCAGTCTACAAGAGAAGGGAATTAAGTATCTAATATTTTCTAAGCTAATGTAGTATTGATTTCATTGTCATATTATTATTTATTGTCGTATGACAACATTTAAGGCATTAGCTAATTGTTCTCATTTGCATGTATGATCTAACATGCATTAACTTCCATGTACACCCAACAGCATCAGGAAAAACAGATTAATTAAAAACAGGTAAATCTCTCGTATGTAATGTCATATGGACAATCTGATCGGACAGTGATGCATCATTTGGGCGAAATTATCCTTCAAAACAAGGCCTGAAAGAAATGGCTTTGTGTAAATGACATCCCACGAGTCATCAAGGATAGTGGATTTGTAAACATCTGTATACTAATTGTTAGTTATGATTGATGACATATTAAAAAGGACAGTTATTAGCAAGAAAGCTAAAGATTAACGCTTATATCTCTAATTGCACACGTTGCAGTTGTATGCATCTTACTCCTTGACAGCTGTCGTGAATAAAATCCATCATAGACTATTTTTGTTGTAATTATCGTTCAGGATTTAATGCATCCATATTGTCATTTCATCACTCTTGAAGTTACAGGTCTCTCGAGGTGTGCATTGCACACCTTACCTTCAGTGAGGGCATTGTCTCTGACTGTACCCGTCAGTCAAGGTGTCCCTCGGTCATTATGGAAGTTAGGCAGGCTGAATCATGTGGCTATCGCAGTGCCAGACCTAGAGAAAGCCACAGCACTCTACCGTGATGTGCTGGGGGCTCAAGTAAGCGCCACTGTGCCTCTCCCTGAGCATGGGGTGTACACTGTGTTTGTGGAACTGGGAAACACCAAATTAGAGCTTCTGCACCCTCTGGGAGAGAAAAGCCCTATTGCAGGATTCCTGCAGAAGAACAGAGCCGGGGGGATGCATCATATCTGTATCGAGGTAAATATTAGATTAGGTTAGATCGGTAGTTCTCAACCTTTTTAGAACCCCCACCCCCCAATGTCCAACGTAATATTCAAATACTGGCTAAGATGTTTCTTCTAGTGTTTCAGCTGTAATTTTGACACTGCTGCTTTTTAAAACTTTTTTTTTTATCCTATTAAATTAATGAAACACAATTTGAAGATTCTGATTCTGTTTGTTTAAAAAAAAAAAAAAAAGCTATTCAGAGAAAAGTAAATATGATTTGAGAACCAATGGGTAAGACAATACTCATCTTTTAATACTCAAATTTGGTTTAAAGGTTTCGGAATTTATTTGTTATTTTTTTTAAATAAATGGATAAAAATAAGACACCTTTATATATACATTTCAGTTGTTATCAAAAATTAAATACTGGTATACAATATTAAATTATTTTATCTGTTAATTCTTGCTTTTACAATATTCCAATATGAAAAAAAAACATTAGATGGGATAATACTAATAATAATAATAATGAAAATTCAGAAACTAAATGTCTTGTGAATCGATCACATTGCAGGTGTCTTCACAGTAAATATTGAACTTGTTTCATAGTTTAGTGTCAGTATCCATAATGTTGCCTGTTCAATTGCAGGTGGATGATATCAATGCTGCAATAGTTGATTTGAAGGAAAAGAAAATCAGACTGCTCTCCCCAGAGCCACGGATAGGAGCTCATGGCAAACCTGTGATGTTCCTCCACCCTAAAGACTGTGATGGGGTTCTTGTGGAGATAGAACAAGCCTAGCTATTACACATGAGATTGTTATCTAGTAAACAGTGACACTTTGATTAGGCTGTTCATTTGTGATCATTGCAAGAAAAATTGGACGATTCCACTTCATTTTTATGGTGTACTTGATATTCTTGGCTTTTGCCTTTTTTCTTTTTTTTTTCTGATGTAAAGATTTTCTTTAGTGACTTAATAAATTATTAATTTAAGTTCGTTTGATCCTTTGGCCCTTTACAAGCTCACACATTCAAAATGTGTACAAATATTGTAAAGCTTGTTAAATTTTCCTCTTTTTGTATTTATGTTTGTGGGGTACACTAGGTGTTTTTGTTGTTTTTTAAATGATGATTACAACAATAGAAGCCAAAATAAGCTCAGTTAAATGCATGTTTTAAATGCTATAATAAGTTTTGCTGTGTATGAATGTGAATTGAAATCCTTGCAAGCCTCTCATCTGGCTCTCTATGGAACAGACAGATTGGAGCTTTCTTTTTTTGCCTGACAACAACCATGTATTTGGGAGACAAGTTGGCTCATACCCATCTCTCCACTGTAGTCAACCCCCCGCCAAATAGAAAGCTGTTTTTGTTCTCAAGCCTTAAATCTGCCATTTTTTCCTTTTTTCTTTTTTTAAAAAGAAAAGAAAAGAGATAACTAGAGGAGTGAGATTAGGAACCAATGTTTGTGGGCTTTCTCACTTGTGTTTTCTCCAAGGTCCTGTTTGAATTTTCCAGCTTCAGCACCATTAGAATAAAAGTTTTTTTTTTTCTTTCTGATGTTTTAAGCTGTTTTTGACATTTCAATTCATTTGGCAGTCTGAAAAGGAACATAAATCTTTCCAGAGAAATTCACACTCTGCCTGTCAAAAAAAAAGACCTTTTGAATGACTTCACATTTTGCCCATGCTAGATTTTGGCTTTTATGCACAGTAGTTAAAAATAACGTATTAATAAAGCAATATTACATGTTGCTCTGAATCGAACATGAAGAAAACAAGCATCAAAGAAATCTGAAGCTAGTTTAAATGTTTTTAGGGGAAATATCTTCAACGGTGCAAGGGATATTATCACGCTTCCTAATGATATTCTGTTGAAGCTTGCTTGTCTTTTTGTAGACATAATGTGAAAACATCTGCCCGGATTAATCATGAGGCAAGAGTAGCTGCATGGTAATTGTTTTCAGTATCCCAAAGGCAGCTCATCCTAATTGCACATATTCAAACCACATGTCCAGTTTTATCTGGGGCATTGGAAGCTGTTTATTGCCTTAGCCTCGAGAAATACATTTTCTCAGTCTACAAGAGAAGGGAATTAAGTATCTAATATTTTCTAAGCTAATGTAGTATTGATTTCATTGTCATATTATTATTTATTGTCGTATGACAACATTTAAGGCATTAGCTAATTGTTCTCATTT